AACATAATTTTCCTTCCCGCTAGAGGGTAAGCAAAGAAATCGGTGTCTCGGCATTGCAAACATTGACACCATTTTCATGCTTTTTGTTTTTTTTGTCTGTTTTTCAGACACAACTATAATAACAACACCATCATCAATAAGTATAAGAATAACAATTCTAAATCTAATTAATAATATTAATTTAGGTAACAGTTTAAATTAATGGTCATTAGTTAATGTAATTAATGTATTTACTAGCATGAACAAACTATTATAATACATTCAGTAATACATTCATTACTGTATTTATTCCTCTCTGTTAGTTCATGTCATATAAGTTAAATAGAGTTAGTTTATGTTAACTCATGGTGCATTAACTAATGTTAAAAAGCACAAGTTTGGATTTTAATAATGATTATTTAATATTTAATTATAAAAATATTTAATTAAATATAGTTAATGTTAGTAAATATATTAAATAACATTAACTAATGTTGAATCCCCAACCTATCAAGCATATGTTTTTACACAGCGGATGCCCTTCCAGCTACAACCCATCTCTGGGAAACATCCACACACACTCATTCACACTCATACCCTACGGACAGTTTTAGTCTACCCAATTCACCTATATTAGTAATGAAACTAAGTGTTACCGTAATTTAATTTACAATAATATAATTTATAATATGAATAAAATAATCAATAATTCAATAATTTTGAAAAGTAATAATTTATTTAAGATGTTTAAAATAATAATAAAAAAGATATACATACTAGTATAATAATAATAATAATAATAATAATAATAACAATAACAATAATAATAATATGTTAATTTGTTTCATTTGTCATGTGGATTAAATAACAATGTTGTCATCTGAAACAATGCTTTAAATGAAATGCATATACAATAGTAATAACAGTTTTCAATTTATAATAATTTTAAGAATAACCAATAATAATTGTTATCATTGGCAGTTAAATTTATTTAAAATATGCTAAAATCTAAACTACAAAATGCATGTAAAAAATAAAAATAAATAACCGCTTGAACTGATTAAACACAAGAAAACTTATTCTGAAATATTTCCAAACCCTTATTTCAGTTTCCTCTAGATGAAAGTGCATTTTAAATGAGTTAGGTGTGTAATATTTAAAAAGGGCTATTAATTCTTTTCATGGCCAATTTTCCTCTTTCCTCTTTGCTCACAGTTGCCTCACATCTCCTTAATTTCTTTTCTTTCTCTCTTGTTTTTATTCCCTCTAAAAAAAAGCGCTGAAAGGTAGAGGCGAGGAGGTGCAGAACAAGGGGTGTGCAAACGAGGGAGAGAGAAGGGGCAAAGTGATGGAGGAGAAAAGGGGACAGGCGAACAAGTGAAGAAAGAAAGGAAGGAGAGATAAATCACATTGTCACAGAGTTTCCTGCTGTCTGCAGATGACTGATTAAGTCATTCTCTGAACCACAGCATTGGGGCCCTCAGCATGAGCACCATCTTTCCCCTGCATTCTTATTATCCTCTCCATAATTTACTGCTTATGCGTGTATGCGTGTGTGAGTGTGCTTGCGTATGTGTGTGTGTTTTCCGCGCCACACCAATTGATTGCTTCGCCCCTTGCCAAGCAGAGGGAAATAAAAGATTATTTCTGAAATCATATTTGCACAGTTTACCTGCTCGCTGATCAGCTTTGGCACAGGAGGGCACTTTTGAAGCCTGGAGGCCTGAGAGAACACCTAAAAAAATCATTTCCAACATGCAAAGGTGAGGTTTTGAGGTTGAGCTTTGGCATTCTACCCTTTCTGCACTGGCCTGGTTTTAAACTGAATTGGCAATATAATTCAGGCGGCACTAAAGGCTCCACTCTCCTTAACACCTTTCAGTGGAGTCATTGGCCATCATCTGAGCTCTACTGGAGAGCAGACACCAATGAATCTGTGACCAGCAAAGACTTCAGAACAAAGAGAAAAAAAAGTCTTTCCCGCTGAGAGATGATGCTTCAAATGTAGCGCTGGAGAATTAGATTACTGTAGTGTCAGGGCGCTACTGAAAAGGAATACTTTCACTTTAATGAATTTATTTATGAGCTTTGAATTGATTCTGTCAGTTACAGATTTACAGTCGCATCTTACAAGAAAGAAAAAATATATAAAAACAACTCAAAAGCAGGGTTGTATAGCCAGCCCAGTGAATGAAAAAGCAAGAAAAGTAATAGGTTTTTATTATTATTATTCTTATTATTTAAATTATGCATTTTGGTGACAGTCTATTCAATTCAGTTCAAATCACGTTTATTTCTATAGTGCTTTTACAACGTAGATTGTGGCAAAGCAACTTAACATAGAAGATCTAGTAAATTGAAACCAAGTCAGTCCAGTTTTCAAACTTAAAGTTCAGTTTAGTGTGGTTTAATTTTCACTGCTGAAATCAATAAATAAAGAGAAAATCCATCAATGCGCATCTCCACAAGTCCCAAACCAAGTAAGCTATTTACGCATTAATTTCAGGCCCGAAGCCAGCTAAATAAAATGGGTGGTTTTTTTTCCTGGAAAAATTTGACCTTTTTTTGCAGTTATTCATTCATTAATTTTCTTTTCGAATTAGTCCCTTTACTAATCTGGGGTTGCCACAGCGGAATGAAACGGCAACTTATCCAGCATATGTTTTACGCAGCGGATGCCCTTCCAGCTGCAACCCATCTCGGGGAAACATCCAGTCTCATTTACTCTCATACACAGTCCAAAGACATGTGGTACAGGTGAATTGGGTAGGCTAAATTGTCTGTAGTGTATGAGTGTGTATGGATGTTTCCCAGAGATAGGTTGCAGCTGGAAGGGCATCTGCTGTGTAAAAACATATGCTGGATAATTTGGCGGTTAATTCCGCTGTGGCGACCTCGGAAAAAAAAGGGACTAAGCCAAAAAGAAAATTAATGAATGAACTTTGAGCTCAAGATAAGCTCCAAGAACATACTAAATGTAAAATGTTTTTCTCTATTTGACAACATTAACAGTGAAGCATAATTTCTTTTACTGATCACTCCTCGTGTAGAATGCATCTTTCGCAACTGGAGTCATGAACTCTTGGCATTGGAAAAAAACGATTTGGTTAAGTCTGAAACACAAACGATGGAAATACCATGAGTGCTGTTTAATAGTATGAAGTTGAAGTAACAGATGGCGGATTCTGTTTTGTCTTACAGCCTTTGTCAAACAGCTATTTTCACAATTTGTCAGTCAAAAATAGACAATATATACGTGATATACACACTCTCAGAAAAAAAGGTACAATGAGGGTACAATTTTGTTCCTAGAGGGAACAAAATATAAAATTGTACCTTTAAAGGTCCCATATTGGTCCTTAGGGTACAATTTTGTACCCAAATGGGCTATAAAGGTACAAATGTCCAGATTTAGGTTTGAAAGGTACATTTTTGTACCTTTTATAGCACATTTGGATACAAAATTGTACCGTAAAGGACCAATTTGGCACCTTTAAAGGTACAATTATATATTTTGTTTCCCTATAGGAACAAAATTGTACCCTCAGCTCATGATAAGATCAAGACACTATATAACACTAATTTAAATGTATTAATACTAAACATTAATACTAAAATACATAATTTAAAAATATAATAAATAAATAAATTGATTGAATTAAATATTTTAATAATTAATTTTTTTTTCATGTATTTAAATTACATTTTTTCTCAAAAATGTTAATAATTTAATTTATAATTAAATGTAATTTTAATCATTAAAAACGTAAATACTGGTCTTTGCTTACTGTTTAAGACCCTATAGTTTATGGGATGTAGAATAAGAACCATGCAGAGGGACAGCATCTTCATACAGGTGGTGATGTTGCTGTCTCTTTAAGAATTTGGCTTGTTGAGACGTTATAGTAGTGTTTGTTACTGAGGCGGTCGGTCGAGTATGCTGGCTGTTTACACAGAACTTCACACACTTTTCAAAGAAAAGTCTATTTTGGAGTCCACACTTTTCAGGTAAGAATGTATTAAAGATATATTTTCAGTCTCATTTTTACATGCGAAGCCGTGTTCTGTTGATTTTGTCTGACTCTCTGGCCTCGGCTTTCCCCCGCTTTGTGCTCCGGGCTGGCTGGTGTACGTTGGCCTGCAGGATGGAGTTTGCTAAGATGTCTGCAGCTTATTAAAGAAGTTAATACAACGTGATATCGAAGTCACCGAGGGACATAACGTTATAGAAGGTAAGTACTATATGCTGTTAGTTTTCTCGGTGTAAAAGTTCCCTTTATCGCCTACGTTACGTATTCGCGCCTTATATGTTACGTTACGTTACTGCTTTATTAATAAGTGTTGCCACGGCGGAATATAATCGCAACCCAGATAGCAAAATACACTTGGGCCAGTTCCGGCTAGATTCTCGCCTGCCCGAGTCCGTCTGCTGTATCGTTACTCGGGCCAGATGCGGCGGCAGAAGCGAGCCGACGCTGCCGTAACCGTGCACCGGAATCGGGCCGTGAGTAATGTGCGGTGTGGCCCGGAGCGGGCGCGACTGAAGTCTTCATATACCTTGATATAAAACCTTTTGTTATTAATACTGGAATTTGTAATTATCGATAATGTTTTATATTTTGAGGCCATTTTCTAGCCACGGTTGACCGCGGAAATGTAATTTTAGACGGTTATATACACCGCCATTTTGTGAAGAAAAATCACAATTTTGTCACCGGCAAAGCGACTGATTATGTAAACGTGGCTAGTTACAAACGTGGCGTGTGTATGCTTTTACATATCTTCGTTTCAGTGTCTAAGTTACATTAATGTTGAGGAATGTCCACAAACTCTCATGTCCAGAATTGTTGGTGCTTTACTATCGTTTAACGTTATACTTATATATAAATAAAATACTATAAATAAATAGTTATTGCTTTATCTTATTGCTTTCCTGAAGTTTATGAAGTTTCCAATTGTATTTCAGGACAAGATTGAACAACATAATGCAGGCTAACAGCATCAGACCAATGAAGGCATGTCATATGAAAGCATGGCTCAGTTACAAGATGTAAGTATGTCTCATTATCTATACCATGGTTTTAATGGCTTACATACTATTTTAAATTTGTAGGTTTTTACTTACAAACAACAATAAATGTACACCCACATGTTTAAAATTATTTTCTAGGTTTTCATCGAAAGATGAGAAATCAACTTAAGAATGCTAAGGACCTGACTTTAAGGTACTCTTTCTAAACTTTCTCCACTTGATTATTATTATTAAATTCTAGCTTTGGATGGATTCCTTCATATTTGTTTGTATGCCACATCTTATGTTCCAGGAATTGATTTTACAGCAGCACTTCTCATGTTGCCAGCCTTGTTAAGCGAGACACTTCAACATTTCGGTGTGCTCCGGTGCGTATGTTGTTTTCTGTTCAGTATATGCTGTGATAAATGCATTTTATAATGCTTGATATTCTTTATATTAGGATGATGCAGTGGGTAGTGCTGTCACCTTACAGCAAGAAGGTCGCTGGTTCGAGCCTCGGCTGGGTCAGTTGGCATTTGTGTGAGGAGTTTGCATATTCTTCCAGTGTTCGTGAAGGTTTCCTCCAAGTGCTCCGGTTTCCCCACAAGTCCAAAGACATGCGCTATAGCTGAATTTGGTAAGCTTATTTGTCTGTAGTGTATAAATGTGTGTGTGAATAAGTGTGTCTGGATGTTTCGTAATACTGGGTTGCAGCTGGAAGGGCATCTGCTGCATAAAACATATGCTGGATAAGTTGGTGGTTCATTCCACTGTGGCGACCCCAGATTAATAAAGGGACTAAGCCAAAAAGAAATTGAATGAATGAATGAAATTTATATTAGTCTTTTAATCTGTGATACTTTTTTTTTTTTAAATCAGTGAATATTAATTATTTTACTTTCTATGCATGTTGATGTTCTCTTCATCAGTGATAGAGTGACTGATATTAATGTAATTATTGCTTTGTCATTTACAGTGAACCATCTTCACCTCATCCAACAGTTCAAGTACAGGAGGACACCACCGACTGGACAACTGTGTTAACAAGACGAGTCACGGCAGTCTTCAGAGTTGATGGGATTGCGATTGGCCGGGCTAATGATGTGGACAAATATACATTTTTGACATATCCATCTTATTAGAAGAACACCTTAATGTTTCTGCAGTGGAATGTTTTGAATGAACGGTGGACGGTGACAAGCCTGGATCTACTCCAGTTACCAGAGTGATCAACCTTGTTTTTTGTTTCTCTACATGCTCTTGGGATAATCACAATCAAGTTAATCCAGCACACTGCTGTAATTCTTGCATGAAGCAAATTTTTAAATAACTTGTGGTTCTAATGACTATCAAAGAACATTTTCCAGATATGAATGCTTTACATGTCATGTTTATCAAAAGCATAAACACATATTGTGTTACAACAAATTAAAACTCCACTTGAGGATGATGAGGAGTAATCTACTGGTGTTGAGGAAGAGGCTACGGATGTATTTGGTTTTCTGCACCGTTGAAGCAATTTATAGAGAAACATTGCCTTCATTCTGAAATACAGAGAAAATTTTGATGACAAATTGTTTATTATGACTGGGTATTCTGACTAAAGACTAATACTTTGGACTTTATAAAGTGAAGTACTTGATGTAGCCTGTGTAATGTGTTTATAAATCTTAAACAGTATTCTTGTGGTCTTTGTATTAAGGGTAGATTATATACTGTACAGTGAGTGAACAATTTTTATTTGTTTTCTAAATTGTTCTTTTTACTGTTTTACATGTCTGCTTTATATTTACTGTGTAATTTTATTTCTTGACACATTCAGTTGTGAGTTGTAATGAAATATTTCTACATTAATAAATAAAAATGGACATCTGCGAACCAAAATATTTTATTTATTTATTTGTGCATGCAGTCACCAAAGGATCAAAATGCCTGGGTAAGTACCCTGAAAATGCTATATAATATAAAAAGGTACATTTTTGTACCTTCGGTGGGGGTACAAAATTGTCCCTTAAAGGGTACAAATGTAGAAGGTACAATTTTGTACCTTTAAATAGAGGTACAAATTTGTACCCTTAAGGGTACCACCCCAGTGACGGGCTATTTGTACCCTAAAAGGTACAATTTTGTACCTTTTTTTCTGAGAGTGCATGATAAAATATGACAACTTCTGTCCTTTTTGATGTGGGGGTGGGTTGCACAAATCCCCCTTGGCTATGAGCCTGTAAGAGTTGCCAGGGGGTATACTAAATATGTGATAGGATGCACATTTCAGAACTTTAAAAACAGCTTTTATTCTAAGGAAAAAGCCAAAATGGCTCAATTTGTGTTTTGACTTAGTAATCGACTTTGCCCCCCACTGATTTGAGCATGTAACATGGGAGAGAATTAACACAGGATTATTCGAGCCACAAAAAGCTAGAGATTCCTCTGAGGATTGCAAGATGTTGTGCTTGCCATGTGGTGGAAAAAATAGCATTTGCATCACCTTCTTTGTGATCCTAGCATCATGTCTACACCAACGGTTGTTGCATCATGTTGCAAATGCATTTCTTCTTCATGTCAGAAATAGCACAAGCAATGTCAGACTAGAGGCTTCTCAGGGGCCATTTGGATCCTAAAACCTGACCAAAGACCTGATTAGCTTTAGACTAAAAGCCTCGACTCAGACACAGGTTGGCTTCAGGGTATCAGAAACCCTCAGTATAGTATTGAGTAAACCCAAAAGACCCATAAAGGTATAGGATGTACAGTGGTCATCATTGAGAGCTCATTAGTGAAACTAAAGTTTGTATCTACACAAAAAGAATATATATAATATCCATCAAGAAAAAAAAAAAGCCTCACTTCATTCCACTGAATGGCATTTCTTTTTGTGTGCGTGTGCAAAAGCTCTTTGCGAGAGAAGAGGTAAAAAGGATTGCAAACATCACAAGTGAACCCATGATTTATTAGGCTTTCAATTTTTTTTATTGAGCTATAACATTTATCTTTCCAATCCACTGGTCACAATTCAAATCCAAACTCAGAAATAACTTCTACCCACCAGGCAGCCAATAATATGAAGCAATAATAAATAAGTAAACGAATACATGAAAGTAATGGAGCTGTGGCCAAATCAGTCAGCAGGACACCAGGTTTTTTCATTACTGACTGTTGGGCTGCAGACTGTGCATATTAACTTAGGAAAGAGTGCTGAAGAAAACATCAGTAAGTTTATTTGCTTTGTTTTACAACAGATTAATTTTTAAAATGTAGCTGAAAGCAGCAATTATCGGGGCCAAGCAACATAGCGGCCACATCATGAACAAGCGCGGCAACTAACTACAAAGTAACTAAAAAAATTCTATAACTATTTGGCAGCATGGTCTAAGCCAAATTTGGAGGAAATTGGTCTAATGATCAACAGTATGGAGAGTTCAAAACAAGAGATTTTCAAACTAATTCAAGATGGTGGACATGAAGTCGTGTCAATTAGGGAATAAATTATATCAATGTTCTCTGTTTGAAACAAGGAATCAGAAAAAGCCAGTCTCACGACAATAGACAAAACTATTCAAAAGTAATTTGATGAAAATTTGTATGATTTCTATTGATAGAATTTAACTGTTTGTCATTTTTACCTAAAAGATGGAACTAACTGATGTAGTTTGGTCAGTGTCAGGTCTTAATCACACACATTAAGTTTGTTCAAATAGGTTTTACGAAAAATTTGAAATAGCAAAGAAAAAAAATCATGACAGAAAATGAAGGCTTGAATCGGCTTAAGCCAAGGAATCAGAGCAAGCAATCACAAAAAGAATTTGATTGTAGCCTATGTGGTTCAAAAGTTATAACGATAAACATAAGTGAAACTTTAGACAAGTTGTGGCACTGGAGAGTTCGAGTTAAAGAGTTAAAATTTATTGTGGTGTAAGATCAAACTGTTTTCTATCAGTGTGCCAAAGCTTAAACAAATGCCGCAAATGGTTCTTAGGGCTACCATAGAGCAAAAAAAGACGAAGAAAAAGCAGAAGAAGCTGGTAGAATAATAAAAAGAACCGGAACGGATACAATAGGTGCCTATGCAGCTTCAGTGCTTGGCAGTTCATCACAGTCTTTTCACAGAGGTTGAAAATGCTGTATAAGGCGACGCGGTGCTGAGTATACTGAATTTTTTTTCCTGAACAGAAATGTCACAACACTGAGTGAGTAACAGTGCTTTTACCCAGTGTCAGTATTGCTTTGCCTGTTACATATTGTTTAACAGAGTGAGTTTTAATTATAATGAAACATATTAATTTTGGAGTACATTGCAAAAGTGTCCATTTATTATTTTATTGTGAAAAACTGATCAAAACAGTGTTTCAATTAGGTTCAAACACAGGATATTAATTAGCCCTTTATAACTAAATGTTTTTTTTTTTTTTCGTATTAACAACATTGTAAGTGGACCTTAGATAACATTTTTTAAATGCTGTTAATGAAATCCCTTTTTTCTATAATTGTTTTTATTTTATTCAAAAGCAGCTTTACAAACAATAGTGAACAACAATCCCCAATAGCAAGCCAAAGGCAACAGTGGGGGAAAAAACATAATCCTTGAAATGTGTAGGTAGGATGTGGAAACCTTGAGGGGAATTAAACTCAACTGGGACATTTAAATTCTGACACTATAAAAGTAATGCTGACAAAAAAAAAAAAAATGCAATGGTTCATATTAAAACACATAGGGCCAAGTTGTAACACGTTTTATTCCAGTGTGTATTTCTCAAAGTAAAAAAAAAAAAGCAAAAACATGCCTACTGTTGCAATGGGAGCCTGCCGTTTATCTGCATATAATAAAATATGTAATAGGCTAATTTAAAGGAGACAAATTATAGCAATTTTACCAAATCAAGTCGCAATTTTAAAATGTAATGTAAGTCTCAGCTCACCATAGAATGCATGTCAGATTTCGGCTCAAAATTCCCATTTTGGATAAAAGGATCTTCAATTAAATGCAAATTAACTGTTGCTCTCAGCCATCTTTCCAGAAGAAGGCAAAGCTTTTCAGCTTTTGCATCAACCTTTTTGGTGTAAATGTATGTGTGTATGTATTTATTTATTTATTAATGTAGTTTTTCGTGGGGGCTGGGTGGGGGAGGTTGGGGCGGGGGTGTTGAATATCATGCTTTTCATGCATGAAAATTACCTTCAAATTTATGTCAGTAATATTGATAAACTATGGACTCTTTTTTTTTTTTTACTTTAAATTTAACTAAAAGCCAATCACACAGCAGAAATGTACAACAATGGGAATCTAAAAGTGTGTTGATGTTAGAGATGCACAAAATTTTATGCACCCTTTAATTTTTGT